AAAATACCTAAACATAATAAAAGCAATATACAGCAACCCAACTACCAAATTCAAACTAAATGGAGAGAAACTCAACACAATTCCTCTAAAATCAGGGATGAGACAAGGCTGTCCACTCTCTCCATATCTCTTCAATACTGTCTTTGAAGTTCTAGCTGGAGCAATAAGACAACAAAAGAACATTAAGGGGATACAAATTGGAATGGAAGATGTCAAACTTTCACTATTTGCAGATGATATGATAGTTTACATAAGTGACCCAAAAACTCTACTAAGGAACTCCTACAGCTGATAAACACATTCAGCAAAGTGGCAGGATAGAAGTCTAACTAAAAAAAAAAAAATCAGTAGCTCTACTATATACAGACAATAAGAGGGCTGAGAAAGAAATCAGAGAAACAGTTGCCTCAAACAACATAAAATACCTTGGGCAATGCTAACCAAAAATGTGAAAGAAGTATATCATAAGAATTTTGAGTCTTTAAAGAAAGAAATTAAAGAAGATACCAGAAAATAAAAGGATCTCCCATGTTCTTGGATAGGTAGGATCAACATAGTAAAAATGGCAATCTTGCCAAGAGCAATCTACAGATTCAATGCAATCCCCATCAAAATCCCAGCACAATACTTCACAGACCTTGAACGAACAATTCTCAATTTTATATGGAAAAACAAGAGACTCAGGATAGCTTTAGAAACCCCTGTACAATAAAGGAATTTCTGGAGGCATCACAATCCTTGACTTCAAGTTCTATTATAGAGCTGTAGTCCTGAAAACAGCTTGGTATTGGCACAAAAATAGACAGGTAGAACAATGGAACTGAACTGAAACCCTGATATTAATCCACATAGCTACGAACACCTGATTTTTGACAAAGAAGCTAAAATTATTCAATGGAAAAAAGAAAGCATCTTCAACAAATGGTGCTGGCATAAGTGGATGTTGGCATGCAGAAGACTGCAGATATATCCATTATCTATTGCCATGCACAAAACTTTACTCCGAATGGATCAAAGTTCTCAACATAAATCCAGCTACACTGAACCTCTTAGAAGAGAAGGTAGGTGGTACCCTCAAACAAGTTGGTACAGGAGACTGCTCCTGAACATAACACCAGTAGCACAGACACTGAGATTGACAATCAATAAATGGGACCTCCTGAAACTAAGAAGCTTCTGTAAGGCAAAGGACACAGTCAGCAAGACAAAATGACAGCCCACAGAATGGTAAAAGATATTCACCAACCCCATGTCTGACAGAGAGCTGATTTCTAAAATATCAAAGAAATCAAGAAGCTAGTATCCATAACATCAACTAATCCAATTAAAACCTGGGGTACAGAATTAAATAGACAATTCTCAATAGAGGAATCTAAAATGCTTTAAAGACACATAAGAAAGTGCTTAACATCCTTAGCCATCAGGGAAATGCAAATCAAAACAACTCTGAGATACCATCTTACATCTGCCATAAAAACCCAAGGACAGTTTATGCTGGAGAGAATGTGGAGAAAGGGGTACACTTCTCCACTGCTGGTGGGAGTGGCAATTCATATAGCCACTTTGAAAATCAGTATGGCGATTCCTCAGGAAAATGGGAATCAGTCTATCAAAAGATCCAGCAATTCCACTCTTAGGCATATACCCAAAAGATGCACATTCATACAACAAGGACATCTGTTCAACAATGTTTATAGCAGCATTATTTGTAATAGCCAGAAACTGGAAGCAACCTAGATGCCCCTCAACCGAGGATTGGATAGAGAAAATGTGGCTCATTACACAATGGAGTACTACTCAGTGGATAAAAACAATGGAATCTTGAAATTCCCAGGCAAATGGATGGAACTAGAAGAAACCATCCTGAGTGAGATAACCCAGTCGCAAAAAAGACAATAATGGTATGTACTCACTCATATATGAATTTTAGACATGGAGCAGGGGATTGCTAGCCTACAATCTACACCGGTAGTGAAGCTAGGAAACAAGGAGGACCCTAAGAGAGACACACATAGTTCCCCAGAGAAGGGGAAAGGGACAAGATCTCCTAAGCTAATGGGGAGCACGGGGGAGGGGAGAGTGAGTTAGAAGAAAGAGAAGGGGAAATGGGGAGGTGAGAGGAGGACATGAGGTAGCAGAAAGATCTAGTCAGGGAAGGAATAGGGGAGAGCAAGAAAAGGGTTACCATCATAAAGGGAGCCATTATAGGTTTAAAGAGAATTATGATACTAGGGAAGTGACCAGAGACCTACAAGGTTGACCACAACTAACAATCTAAGCAAACTTAAAAGCCCTTCTCCCATAATGAGATTGATGACTACCTTATATGCCATCCTAGTGCCTTCATCCAGTAGCTGATGGAAGCCGAAGCAAACACCACCACTGAACTGAACTCTGGAATCCAGTTGCAGAGAGGGAGGAGTGATGAGTAAAGGGGTCAAGACCAGGCTGAAGAAACCCACAGAAACAGCCGACCTGAACAAGGGTTTGCTCTTGGACCCCAGACTGATAGCTGGGAAACCAGCATAGGACTGTTCCAGACCCCCTGAAGGAGGGGATCAGTTTGGAGGTCCAGACAATCTATGGGGCCACTGGTAGTAGATCAGTATTTATCCCTAGTACAGGAATGGACTTTAGGTGCCTAATACACATAGAGGGATACTGATCAGTTTGGAGGTCCAGACAATCTATGGGGCCACTGGTAGTAGATCAGTATTTATCCCTAGTACAGGAATGGACTTTAGGTGCCTAATACACATAGAGGGATACTCTCCAAGCCTAGACACATGGGGAGGGTCTAGGCCCTGCACCAAATGATATGACGGACTTTAAAGATTCCCCCATAGAAGGCCTCACCCTCCCTAGGGAGCAGAAAGGGGGTGGGATAGGGGGTCGTGAGGGACAGGGGAGGAAGAGGGAACTGGGATTGACATGTAAAAGAAGCTTGTTTTCAATTTAAAAATAAATTAATATAAAGAAGATGACAATGCAAAAAATTTATGCAAATGTCAGTTAACAAATCACAATGTAAAAAGCGTTGATGTCTCTCACATAATGGAAGCAATATCCTATGATACAGCTATTCCACATCTTGCAAAATACCCAAAAGAAATGAAGTTGTCACAAACCATCTGCATTATCATGTTTATTACAGCACTATTATCCTAATTCAAGTTATGGAATCAGCTTAAGTGTCTGTCAACAGATGAATGGGTATAGAAAGTATGTTTTCCATATTTGGTCATATTTTCTTTATGACCTAACATATAAATGTTTCCTGAAGATCACATGCAATGCTAGCCACATTAGTTAGCCATAGAGGCCAGGCAGTGGTGGCACACACTTTTAATCCCAGCAGCCACACTAGTTAGCCATTGAGGCCAGGCAGTGGTGGCACACACCTTTAATCTCAGGTCTCAGGAGACAGAGGCAGACAGATCTCTGTTAGTTGAAGGCCACCTGCGCTACACAAAATGGATCTAGTCTAAAAGAGAAACTGAGCTCATACAAAGGTAATCCCAGCACTTGGAGTAACACACCTTTAATCCCAACACTAAGGAGGTGGAGACAGGAGTGATATGGCTGGGTGGAAAGAGGAATATAAAACAGGAAGAGACGAGAAAGAGACCCTTGTGGTTATTGCAATATTGTGTCTTGGCCATGTCAGGGTTACTGTTCTGTTTTTGGTATCACATTATAATTTTGTGAAACACAGTCCTTGGAGGGAACTGGCTCAAAGGCATATGGAAAACTCAAATTGCCAATGAGTTAAAATTACTTCATGAGAAAGTGCTGAGTATGCCTTTAAATAGTGTACATCATTGTTTTAGGTGAAGACAAGTTATATTTAGTATTCTTACTTTCCAATTTCTGCATTTTAACTTACTGAAATTAAAATTGTATTACTTCAGTTTAATAAAGAACTGAATTTCAAAAAAGTTACAAGCAGTGGAAAAGTTAGAAAATCTTCAATAGAAGAATTCACCAATGTTACCTCTTAGAGCCTGCTATTGTACACTGCACATGAGTATGAAAAAAACCCCCAACAACAGTGAATAAAAATAATCTAATAAAAAATCTTAAAAATTGGATAACCACCTTGCCTTAAACAGTACAGTAAAAATTTAATCATCAGGTGCTGGAAAGATGGCTCGGTGGTTAAGAGCACCTGCCAGGACTTGCTGAGGACGTGGTGGCTCACAATCATCTGTAACTTCAGTTTCAGGGAATCTGGCAGCTTCTTCTGGACTTTGTAAGTGCCAGGCATGCATGTGGCAAATACTCATAGACATTTAAAATAAAAATATCTTTAAAAATTTAAGCCAGGCAGTGGTGGCACATGCCTTTAATCTGAGCTCTCTCTGGAGGCAGAAGCAGGAAGACCTCAAACTGTGAGTTAAGGCCAGCCTGTCTACAGAGTGAATTCCAGGACAGTCAGGGCTACATAGAAAAACCTTGTCTTCAAGAAACAAAACAAAACAAATTTAATAATTAAAAATCCTAAAAGTGATAAGAAGTGGCTGGACACTTTTGATTTTACTTCATTTTAGTTTATAGTCTCCACAGATAGCATTCACCTTTCCCCTCTTTTTGTAATTGAACGGAGGAGCTTAGCACATAAAAAACTATATGAATTGAAGAGTAAATCAAATCATTATAATCTAGTTGAAGTTAAATACTTGCTGATCTTTTAATTAATTATGATATACAAAACCAATAAGACATTAATATATTTCATAGTCATTTTAATAAACACCTCTGTCAGTGTTGCAAACTGTTCTGTAACAAGAAACTATGACAGTCACACTCAGTAGCTAGAAAACAGACATGGTACTCTAGGCAGAAAAAGAAAACTTACAAAATCGTGAGGATCTTGATCATTTGTTCTTTAAATAAACCACAGTCATGACTCAAGTCTAGGAAGCACCTCAAAGTAGAGAAACTATTAACTTAGAATAACATTGAATTTCTATATTTCTGAATAAAATACAATGACTTACTTTCTTCTCCGGCTTGACTCTATGAAATATTTACGTGCTCGATTCCGGCATATTTTTTGTTGCTGTAGTAGTATCTTGCGTTCTTCTTCTAAATTTTTCTCAAGATGGATTTTCATATCTCTAGTGATGCCATTTAGTTAAGAACAATAGTTTACATCTTTAGTGGGTGTCAAGACTGTCTGATGTAATTAGAGCCTCATGGTAATGACACTATAATGCTTTTATGGGACAACTAATATGTTTCCCTGAGGGGAAAATAAGTCACCTTTAGAAATCATGAACTTAAACCAGATGGTAGTGGTGCACGCCTTTAATCCCAGCACTTAGGAGGCAGACACAGGAAAATATATGTGAGTTCAACACCAGCCTGGTCTACAAGAGCTAGTTCCTGGACAGCCTTCAAAGCCACAGAGAAACCCTGTCCTGAAAACAAAAAAACAAACAAAAAAATCATGAAAAAATGAAAATGCATATTTTTACTCATTAGCAGATATTTGGATAGCTACTGGTAAGGTATTTTTGGGGGGCTATATGTAAGGAAATGAAAGACTTAGTAACAGGGAGTAGATGAGTTACATGTTTCAACAGATCCTTTAGTTTACAGTATAAAATAAAAAACAAATTGCAGTGTTGGATTCCATGAAAAGACCAAACATAAGAATAATAGGTATAGAAGGTGAAGAAATCCAACTCAAAGGCGCAAAAAACACAGTCAACAAAATCATACAAGAAAACAAGACATGCCAATGAAAATACAAGAAGCCTACAGAACACCAAATAGAAAAAGGTCAAATAACTTATAAAGGCAAACCTATCAGAATTACACCTGACTTTTCCATGGAAACTCTGAAAGCCAGAAGGTCCTGGATAGTTATGCTACCTACACTAAGAGACCATGGATGCCAGCCCAGACTACTATACCCAGCAAAGCTTTCAATCAATATAGATGGAGAAAACAAGATATTCCATGAAAAAACCAGATTCAAACAATACATATCCTCCAATCCAGCCCTACGGAAAGTTCTGGAAGGAAAACTGCAACCCAAGGAAGTTAACTACCACCAGAAAAATATGGGCAATAGATAATCCCACTTTACCAACAGCCAAAAGGAAAAAGGGATAGAATCCCACACATAATTTCGCCACCATCACCAAATCAAAAACAAACAAGAATGAACAATCAATGGTCATTAATATCCATCTGTTGATGGTCTTAACTCTCCTATAAAAAGACACAGATTAGCAGAATGGATTAAGAAGAGAGAAGTCATCCTTATGCTGCATATAAGAAACACATCTCAACTTCAAAGACAGACGGTACCTAAGAATTAAAGGTTGGAGAAGATTTTCCAATCAAATGGACCCAAGAAACAAGCTGGGGTAGCAATCCCACACACTTATAGTAGGAGACTTCAACATCCCACTCTCACCACTGGACAGGAATACTAGACAGAAACTTAACAAAGAAACAAAGGAACTAATCAAAGTTATGGACCAATTGGGCTTAACAGATATCTATAGAACATTCCATCCAAATACAAAAGAATATACCTTTTTCTCAGCGCCACACAGAACCTTCTCTAAAATCAACCACATACTTGGCAAAATAGCAAACCTCAACAGGTACAAAAAAATAGAAATAACCCCCTATATCTTATCAGACCACTATGCATTAAAGTTAGAATTCAACAACAACATGAATTGCCCCAAACTTACAAACTCATGGAAATTAAGTAATGCCCAATTGCACAATGCCTGGGTCGAGGAAGAAATAAACACCACATACTTAGCAACATAGCAAACCTCAACAGATACAAAAAAATGGAAATAACTGTATCTTATCAGACCACCATGCTTTAAAGTTAGAATTCAACAATAAC